AGTGGTGTAGGATTTCTTGCCTAAGCAGAGGGTTGGACTAGAAGACCTCCAAAGTCCCTTCCAACTCTGTTATTCTATACTATTCTAGTCATGCTTATAGAGCTCTAAAATAAAATAAAAGCAGGTTATTCTATGAAAGTGCTTTAATTAAAAGGACTGTAACAAGTTTCTTCCTGGCCTTTCCACAGATCTGTCGGAGCCAAAATTGCCTGATGATACTGAAGGAACAAGTAAAGACGGCAAGATTCGCCAGAGACTTCTAGATTCTTCTTGCTGATGGGTTCAGCCTGTGGTTGATAGGTGCTGAAAGCCATTTTGAGCAGCTGAGGCCTCAAGCCATCTCTATTACACCACATGATTGCCTTCCCACTGAGTTTACAAGGACCCGGGACAGAAAGGCGAATAATTGTTTGAAAATAATTGAGCTGTCTGTGTTTACATGTCTACAGTTTACATGAATATTATGCCTAGAGATACACTGACGAGGTGAACTATGTCAATTCTCATTAAGAATTGGGAAGGCTGAAGTACTGAACTTGAGAGAAAAGAAGTAAAATAAAAATATTTCAGATTGGTTTCATAGATGTGTAGACATCAGTTCCACATTATTCAGTATCTTCAGCCATAACGGAGTAACAAATGAACAAAAATCAACACAACAGTTGGCAACGTAATAGTGACACTACAAATACTCGTCATGTAAGTAAGTCAAGTATTATATTCTTTAGTCTATACCACTTTGGATAAAACTATGGAAGCAAACAAGTAGTTCTGTGGATAAAGTGTTAATTATACCTTTCACTTGTGCCTGTCTTCCATGAGATTTTACAGTTCGGAGATGGAGAATTGGTGACTATCTACAGATAGATGAACACCTATTATCCCTCTCATTAATCCTATTGTTGCCACAGGCTGGACGTGGTGCTTTCAACAACCTTTGAGATTCCAGTGCTTCTATGCAACAAGGAATACAGTATATTCTGTTAATACCACCAGTTATAGAACTACCTTAAAAGTTAGTAGCTTCAGGATAGTGAAATGGAATACTAAAAAAAAATTGGAAACACTTCCTTGAACCTTATCTGTCTGGTTTTCCTACTTCATGGCTGTATGTGTACTGCTATATACACAAAAACCAAAATATTAAGCAACTAGTACTGGTAGGAGAATGTTTGAAACTTTTGAACCAAGACGTGTTGAGAGTGGCCTACACAAATAGAAAATTACAAGTTTTGGATACCTCGCCACTCTAAAAAAGACTTTAAACTCTTCTACAAGGTAGGTTGATTTTTACAAGTGAATCTAGAAAAAAAGGTTCTTTCAATTGCTTATGGAGACCAACTTATGCATCAGCAAAATATTGAATGAAATATATCGAAGGTAGAAGTCTCCTTAACTCTTAATAAATTCACCAGTGCAGTTTTCTTCACAGGTTGGAAGTAGTTTACTAGTGTCCCTTCGGATGTTTTTCCAAGTCCTAGATCAAGTACACAGATATGCGATTATTATTATTTTTTGTGCAAACTTACAGGAGCAACGAACCAGCTGCAACTCTGCTTAGCAATTTCAAGATCAGTTCTGTATTACCATATCTTGTAGCCATATAGGAGTGATGGTTCCAAATTTAAGTTGGTCCCTTACACTCTTCTATAATAAAAAGAAGGTTCTGTTACTACATTTTCATCTATTCCAAGATGATTTAATGTTTTAAAGATAAATTAAGGATAAAACTTTTCAGATAAATAGTGTATAATGCAATTCCTCCTTTATTACAACCACTCTTATAAAGGAGCTGCGACAGAGGTATTTTGGATAAGTTCTTCAATTAGGTTCTTTAGTGTTGAAAAAAGCTTTTAAAAAGACAAAGGATTGTCCATCCATCTCTGAAAAAGATACTTCAGTGTTGTTCTAACCCATGCTTCCTTAAACAGCAAGAAACAGAGTCTGGGTCCCGGCAAAACCTCTTTTATTTACACGACTGTGAATTCCTTTCATTCACTGTCAGCAAGGCTTAGCAAATAGACTTTCAAAGGAATATTGATCAACACGAACCTTATCTCGCTTGGCGAGCTGCCAGATAACTAGTTTCCAAATGCAGGGCAAGGCAAAACTTGGCACAGAGTCTCTTAAAGTCACAGGTAGAACTTTCCACTCTTGAAACAACTGAATGAATTGTTTCCTGCAAAAGCCCACTCCCCATTCAGTCCTCTTTTCTTTCCTTTGGGAGGGCCCAATCACCTCCGAGATGTGGCTTTACTCCTAAGTCGACCCTGCTTTCTTAGTTGTTCTTGCCTTCTGGCAGCTATGCACACACTGGGAACAGGCTCCAGCTGTTCCTCTGCCTCACTGCTGTCTAGCTCCTTCTCTGACTCTGACGCAGCGCCCTCGTCTGAGCTTTCCTCAGCCCCCAGGACTGGCTCAGGTTCCTCCCCAATCTCCCCATTGTCTAACTGCTGGCCACTGGCGGGCCACAACAAGTGTGCTTCTCAACACATTTTGTAAAAACAGCCTTAAATATCACCTTTCTTTATTGGAAAGATTTTGTCCAACTTTCTCACTCTGTTTGAATGCAATTTTTCCCCTTTCACCCCAAGGACTGGATTCCAATAAAGGAATAATTCTGAAGCGCCCATGCAGGTGATGGGTGATGTGGATTATTTGAGACTTCCAAAGAACTTTAAAATCATCTAAAAATCCATATCCCATTTTTTTGGAGGCTGCCATTCTAAGGAGGCAGCAAATGATAGACAATTCATCATGTGATTTCAGTTCAAGGACAAATCATGGAAAACCTAGCAGAATTGCAAACCGAAAAGTACAGATATTCATTATCTCAGGCTCTGCGTAACTTCTCAAACCAGACGTCACCTTGTACTTCTGCATTTCTTCTCAGAGAAATAATATCAAAAATTGTAACGGGCGCAAAACTAAACATGAACGGTACAAAATCATAGCCACCTCCACATCTGTGCGGAAATAACTACAAGGACTAAGCTTGAAATCATAGATTGCATCTTGGATGTAATCCAGCATAAGGAGGAATACTCACAAGTAACAATTACCAGGAACAAGTAGGAAATTATTGGCAAAGAATTTTTTAAAAAAAACTGAGCTCTTTTATCAAGGCTGCCAGTAACTAGATTTCAAAGAATTGTGAAGTTTCAAGAAAGTATTCTGGGGAAAAAAGTTACTGGTGGTTCTTCGTAGTCCTTTCAAATCGATTGATTTTATAAGAATTGGACGGAAATCTTATCATAACAACAAAACCAACTCTGCTAGTTGTACAACATTCAGCGACGATATTAAAAACTGAAAATAAAGGAAAATACACAATGTCTTCGCATTTCCTCTTGTATGTAATATAAAATGGAAGCAACTGTAAACAGTTTTGCAGGGGGATCTAGATTTGACTCCTGTTCCTGTATATTGTTTAAGAAGTCTTAAGGCTGTATCTGCCTAAAGTGAAGCTCGGCTTACAGGATTGACCTAGATAAGACTAAAAGTTCAGTTATGTCATTTTATTTGTTCCTGCATGATGGGGTTATGTTCGTTTTGGCAGAGTAGCTTTGCATGGAATTACCTGCAGGATGATAGGTAAGATGTGAGTAATTACTTGGGAGTAAATACTGTGGTAATCATAATGTAACTGTGTAGGTAATACGGCTGTAATAAAATTGTTATTTAATACCAAGATGTTTCCAATGCTTCATTCTGACTGCCTCGACACACAACTGCTCCCACAATTTTTTTCTTCAATATAAATCAACAACTAAGACGTTTTTCGTTCATTTGTTGATTTGGGTTCTGTCTATCTTGTTTGGACTTGTCTGGAGAACAGGCCATGTTTTATTTCTGCAAAAATATTGAAAATTCAGAAGGGTTCACATTCACTTAAGTACCACTATACATATCTTGCTTCTACAACCAGAGACACTGGTGTGGAATTGTTTAGAAAAAATAAATAGTTTTTTTAAAAATTCATTTATACAGTACTGTGGCTGTACTTTACATAAAACTAATATTACCTAATTAAATTCTCAGAATCAAGGGCAACGAGAGAAAAACAGTTTGGGGAAACCCCGGGAAACTTTAGATCAGAACATGAACATTAACCTTTAAGGAAATGTGGGATGGGAATTCATAAAGGGGACCACAAAGCAACCTATTTATGAGAGGCCCTTGGTGCTCAGAGCTAAGGTGTTTTTTTGCAGATAGTTTCATTACCAAACTAGGTAACATCATTACCTACTTTAGTAATAAAACATCTGCAAGAAAAAAAAAACTAAACTCAGAAAGCACCAAGGACTCCTCATTTCAGCCTTGAGCTACAAATAATCTCCTTTTATCAATCTATTCATGCCAACACTCTCACTACCCTGTCTCTTTTCCTAATGCAGCATAAATGGCCTCTATTGGTGTGTCTGTGGTAAATACAGTACAACTCAACATTTCTAAAGGTTTGAAACCAATCACAACAAACTTGTCAGAAAACTTTATTCCGTATCACACATTTCCCATCCTTTGTCCAATTTTTCTAGAGTTTGTAGAATACATTTAAAATGTAGTGATCAACAGCGAATGGGCTTTCCGTGGTAAAATACATTGCATTGCACGATATTTCTAAGGCCAACATGGTTTTAAAGCTGCATCTCCTACTAAAGCCCCATATGCAAATTCAGAGTTAGCTTAACCTTAAAGCAATTCTGGGAGTTGAAGTCCACAAGTCTTAAAGTTGCTAAGGTTGGAGACCTCGGCCTTAAAGGATGTGTTTTCAAACTGATTTTTCTTTTTGAAACCACTGAGATAAGCAGGGGAGGGAAAAAACAAACGAAGGCCGCTTGAAAGTTTCTCACCATTTTTACTTTCTGAGCATATCAATGAAATTATTGCCAAGTTTACTATTCTGGACACCAGCTCAGTTTCAACTTATTAAACTATAACTAGATCCCTCTGAAAAATCCCAGAAAGGATTTTATATGCACCCCATTATGAGGCGTTACTTTAAAAGTTAAATATATATATATTTTGAAACCCTCCCGATTGTAGCTTCTTGTCAAAAGGAATCATGTTTTATAACCGAGCATTTAATTTCACTGACTCCCATCCTCAGTTTTGACTCAGGGCAACGGCCCCTTTGATGGAAGTTGAGAGACTTGTAAAACATGGAATGCAGGAATGGAGTTTGTTCTCTTACCCAACCAGTTCTAATTGATTCCTCTGTAAAATGAAAAAAAAAAGACACGGGAGCCCTTTAAAAGGAATGCTATGACACATTTCCTTTGCCTTTTAAGTGTTGGGATGCAGAAACGGCCATCTCCATTCAGGTATATTTATGGTTGTTCTTGAGCAAGGAAGTGACTGAAGATTGGTGACTCCTTGTTGGGAAAAATGAGGGGCCATTTTTCCTGAATTCTCTTTTCTGTCACACGGCTCCAGAATGTCCTTAACTTCACACTCCTGGGCAGATGCTAAGAATCACAAGGTTAAGTAGCAAGAAGACTTCTGTGAAAAACTGCCATCCCTAAGAAGGAATATTCCTTTTCACACATTTCCACTCAAGTTAACTCTGGGTGGTCCCATTTAGCTGGACATTGTGGTTGCGTTGCAGATAAGAGTAAGAAGCAGTCTTTTTCAAGGAAGCCACCACTTTCCGGACAATAGTGTAAAATTATGGTGAAGCAGGTGAAAAACATCTCGGATCTCCTTTGCGGAATTTGGAGAAGTAATTTTTGCACTTTCCTTCCTTGCTTTGGCTTCGGAAGTTATCATCTTTTTCTTCTCGAAGTGGAAACAAATAATTCATCCTGTAAATTAAATGACAGCATTTCACTGAGATGTTATATGGTTAAAGAGATTCATCCCCTTTGGATGTGTCATCTGTACCAGTGTATGACAGTTCAGAGTGGGATCTAAACGTTTTAAAAATTGTTTTGAATTTGGATTCTTCCCAGTCTATCTTCTTTTCTCTCTATGAAACATACCAATAGACTTAGACTTATATACCGCTTCACAGTGCTTTATAACCCTCTCTCTAAGCGATTTACAGAGTCAGCATATTGTTCCCAGCAATCTGCGTCCTCATTTTACCGAACTCGGAAGGATGGAAGGCTGAGTCACCCTTGAGCAGGTGAGGATCAAACTCCTGGCAGTGAGCAGAGTCAGCCTGCAATACTGCATTCTAACCAGAGGTGGTATTCAGCCGGCTCGGATCAGTTTGCCCAAACCGGTAGTGGTGACCTGTGGGTGTGCCTGTCTCCAAAACTTCCTGCATAGCCTCATTTTCGATGTTGCATGCATGCTGCACACCCAAGCGGGAAGGTACACACGCATGCTCACGTTTGCGAACCAGTGGAAAACCTATGTGAATCCCACCGCTGACTCTAACCACTGGGTCACCACTATCCCACAGCTACCAGAAATAACTCTTGGCAACAACAGCCAACATTCAATGTTTCTTCTTGCTTTTAGAGATTGCTAACTTTCTAATTTTTCTGCCAAAGTCAATCGCCTATTATGGTTCTCCTCCTTTCTCCCTAGTTAATTATGTCCAATTCTAACAAATTGCCTGGACAGTCCCTGCAGTTTTCTTGACGGGTTCTTCAGAAGTGCTTTGCCATTGCTGCCTTCCTAGGGCATGCCGGCTGAGGAATTCTGGGAATTGAAGTCCAGACAACTTAAAGTTGCCTAAGTTGAAAAACACAGATTTAGGAATTCCTAGTCTTTGAAGTTACTGCAGACAGGGCTTTTCACAGAGGACTTACAATACAATAGCACAGTTGGAAGGGACCTTGGAGGTCTTCTAGTCTAACCCCCTGCCTAGGCAGGAAACCCTATACCGTTTCAGACAAACAGCTATCCAACATCTTCTTAAAGACTTCCAGTGTTGGAACATTCAGAACTTCTGGAAGCAAGCCGTTCCAATGATTAATTGTCCTAACTGTCAGGAAATTTCTCCTTTGTTCTAAGTTGCATCTCTCCTTCATTAGTTTCAACCCATTGCTTCTTCTCCTGCCCTCAGGAGGTGCCTTGGAGAATAGTTTGACTCCCTCTTCTTTGTGGCAACCCCTGAGATATTGGAACACTGCTATCATGTCTCCCCTAGTCCTTCTTTTCATTAAACTAGACGTACCCAGTTCCTGCAACTGTTCCACATATGTTTTAGCCTCCAGTCCCCTAATCCTCTTTGTTGCTCTTCTCTGCACTCTTTCTAGAGTGTCCACAACTTTTCTACACTGTGGCAACCAAAACTGAATGCAGTATTCCAAGTGTGGCCTCACCAAGGCTTTATAAAGTGGTATTAACACTTCACATGATCTTGATTCTATCCCTCTGTTTATGCAGCCTAGAACTGTGTTGGCCTTTTTTGGCAGCTGCTGCACACGGCTGGCTCAGATTTAAAATTTCAGTAAAATAACTGAATTCAGTGCTGATAGCAAAGCACATGGAAATACATCATGTACCAACATATGACTCAATCTCACATGGAATGGGGTGAGGGGGATCATTTAAAATATGGGCAATGATGTCCCTCCAAAAAATAACGGACTGCTTCTCTATAGATCTAGTTATCCATGGATGTTGCTGCTTCAAAGATTCTGTGCCTTCATGAACAGAGGAAAGAACATACCAAGGTTGGAAACTCTAAGAGAGAAAAAAAGAATTTACACAGCTCCGAGGTTTAATGAGGCTGGTGATGGGGTTGACCCTACCTTTTATTACAGAGTTTCTTGTTAAGCTCCTCGTTAGGAGAAAGGAATTGGGAAGAGATGTAAGAAACACTAAATATTGCGCAAACATTTTGCATAAAGGAAGCATGATGGACTGGTGAGGTGGCCTAGAGGTGGCGCTCTCGCCTTAGTCAGGAGGGTGAGTTTGATCCTAGGTTGAGGCAGATATTTCTCTCTCTCGGCACACTGAGAATATATCTGCTGATCAAAACTCCACACTGGTGACAGGAAGGGCATCTGGCCATTAAAACACTCTGATAGCTCCATTCAGTTTCCCAGACTCCACCCCGCAAGCGATGATGGGGTCATTAAAGATGATGATGATTAAAGGAAGCATGATGGAAGAAAGATTTTATACCTCGTCTGATTCAAAGGAAACACCTTTTGATGCTTGGCTCTGAGAGTTCCTCTGGCTTTGCGTTGATGCGGTTGGTAATCTAAGTATTATAAGAAAGAGACATTATCACTCTTAATCAAATTGTGTTACTAGAATTCAGCTGTGGCTGCACGGGTTTCTGAATTGTTGCTAGCCCAGTTTTCAAATGTTGACTCTTATCTCTAAACTCCCCACAGATCAGGGCCACACAATCAGAAATATTGTAGTGTCCCAAAGAAGTAGCAATTCCAATTTATGATGCGTTATGGGTTTGTTCTACATTCTACAGTGAAAGAGAAATTAAGGTAAAAGGTATAGGTTCCTCTCGCACATATGTGCTAGTCGTTCCCGACTCTAGGAGGTGGTGCTCATCTCTGTTTCAAAGCCGAAGAGCCAGCACTGTCCGAAGACATCTTCGTGGTCATGTGGCTGGCATGACTAAACACCGTAGGTACACGGAATGCTGTTACCTTCCCACCAAAGTGGTCCCTATTTTTCCACTTGCATTTTCTACGTGCTTTCAAACATGCTAGGTTGGCAGAAGCTGGGACAAGTAACAGGAACTCACTCCGTTACGCAGTGCTAGGGATGCGAATGGCCGACCTTTCTGATTGACAAGCTCAGCGTCTTAGCCACTGAGCCACCGCATCCCTTTGTAAAATGATTATGGTTCTTTAAATAACTTTTACCTCGAGGGTTTTTGACTGTGTTTTTGAATCAGAACTTTCACTGAACAAGAGAGATTATTTTTGCAACGTAAGAAAAGTTCCCAAAGCAGCTTGTGATAGGGTCACAGTGTGATCTGTACGGTATTCTGCCGGTTCGGACTGCTTCACCCAAACTGGTAGCAGAAATCGTGGGTGGCCCCGCCCACCCAGGCTCATAGGGCATCCCATTTAGGCCCTTTTCCTGGTTCACCGACAAAAGGGCGAATGACAAAAGCGCGCCCGACTAAACCGCGGTGACAAAACCGTGAGTTCTAAAGCATGCTGACAAATGAGCACTGAAGCGGGCGACAACAGCGCGGCGACAGAAGCGCACTATAAACCTAACCCTAACCTTAACCCTTACCTTAACTTAAATCGTGCTTCTGTTGGCACGCTGTTGTTGCCGCGTTGATGACGTCGCGGTTTTAGCGCTGTGTTTTTGTCGGCGCAGTTTTGTCATGCACGCATTTGTCCGGTCACGCCTTTTCCCGCCAAAATCGCATGCACAGAGGGCTGTGAACGCGCACTCACATTTGCGAACCGGTACAGAAGGTAAGTGAATACTTCCCCTGGACAAGCCCACAAACATCCGTGGACATGAAACGCTTCTGTTCAAGGAAAAGCATTCCCACTGCGTGCCTAACCTTGTGGGAAGGAGCCATTTCACCCCCTGCTTCTCTAAAGGGACAACCCTCTCATAAACAACCAGCTACAGGTCAAGGTGAAACGGTACTACTCACCTTTGATTTGTAGAGGAAGAGGAGCAAGACATCTCCACATCAGAATCGTCATCTTCAATCACCTGGAAGAGACAGAGCCAAGGCCTAGAAAGCAGCACTTTTAATACAGCTAGTCCTCGATGTACGACCCACAGCCTAGTTCAACATTTCTGTTGCCGAGCGAGACATTTGTTAAGTGAGATTTGCCTCTTCTACATCTTCTCTTGCCGCGTTTGTTAAGTGAATCGCCGCAGTGATTAAATTAGGAACACGGCTGTTAAGTGAATCTGGCTTCCCCATTGACTTTGCTTGACAGGTGGTCTAAAAAAGTGATCACATGACCCTGGTACACTGAAATCGTCATAAATATGAGTCAGTTGTCGAGCATCTTAAATTTTGAACCACCTGACCATGGGGCTGATGCAATGGTCATAAGTTTGAAAAGTGCTGTTGTAACTTCAAATGGTCACTAAATGAACCATTGTAAGCCGAGGACTATCTGTATATGCACAAGAAAACATCCCTTGTGTTCTCTTTTACCGGTGGATGATTCTGTTGCTATTTTTTTTTACTGGTTTATGTTGAGCTTATAATTTGATTTGTCTTCTGTTGGGAAAGTGGCACCTGATATATATTTTTTTTGGGGGGGGGGGAACCCTGTCAGCGTTCCAAAATTAAATCAGAGTCCAAGGCAAAGTATTGCTCAAAGTTCCAATTTATCAAGAGAGCCATGTTGGCACATCTGGGAAAACCCAAATCTGAAAGCTTCCAGGTTTTCCCCACCTAGTTGAAAGTTCAAGATCCTGCCCCCACACCCACAAGTCCATCACATGGTCCAATCTCCCACTGCCATGCTGGCAGTTCCACCCATCCAGTTCCAGTCAGGTCCAAAGAATGACCTTGGTTTTCTAGAAAGAATGTTGTTATGGCTACATAGCATCTAACTCCATACAATCCCCTCCCCCCTCCCGGTTTTCCCACAATAGAAAATGCATAGCAGAATAATAGAAAGTGTGGCAGGCCAAAGATTCAAAAGAAAAGATGGCTGCAGGCCTGATACCTCTCTGTTGGGATTGTGAGCTTAGGACTCTGGCCAATTGATTGTCTATAAGCCTTTGAAAATCTGACCCTCCCATTCACCCCGCTGCACTTCAACGCTGGGCCAGGAAGTTGGATGAGCCTCTCCTGTAATAGCTTGTGGATTTTGAGAATCTTCGTCTCAGGTTTCCTGCACTTGTGCTTTTCTATTTCTCGTATTTGGGAGTTGGGCAGCCATGTAAATTATTTGAATAAAATAAATAAGACGGCACCATGATTTCAAACACATTGGCCCTCTATTGTATCCCAACTGTAACCCTGGTTACCCAATCCAAAAATCAATATTGTGAGTCTCAAGACTTTTCTGTAATACAACACCTGCCTTCTTTGCAAAGAAAGGTCTTCTGACTCAGCTCCCCAAACACGAAAAACCCTCTGAAGTTAACTCAAAGATTCCTTGATTAAGAGCCCCGGCAGCCCCGGCAAAAACTTTCTCTCTCACTGCAGGCTAGCAAGTCTGTCCAGCAAGGAGATAAATTTGTCTGCCACATCTATTCATTTCCACCCCCTGTCTTTCATCCCCAGAGCTAGGGGGGGGCTTCGTTAGCAGCGGTGGCTCTTCCATCCCAAGGATCGGCCCGTAGATTTCCACTGCTCTCCTCTCCTCTGCCTTCTGTGCATCCGAGCGTCAGGCACTGGACCCAGTGGTTGTTCCTCTTCCTCATCAGCCACCTCCAGACCTGGGGGCTGTTGACTCTCCATCTGAGGGCTGAGAGATGGCCTAGACTCCGCCTCTCTCTCTCTCTTTCTGCCAGCTCCATTCCCTCTTCCCCCTCGGAGCTCTCAGGTTGCCTTGATGCTGACCCTGACTCCCATGCCTCCTCCTGTTCTGATTCAGCTGGTGGAAGGGATAACGGCCGACAGGCCACAACAAAAGGGTGCACCTTCAACAAAGTCACCTAAAGATGCTTTTGATATCTCAGAGACCTCATCTATCCCAGGTCTTTCCAGGGAAAGGGGAAGCTAAGCAGATGGACTAAACAAATGCCACACCTCGAGGCTCCACAGAAGACCCTCCCTGTCTGCTACACAGCAAATCAGCTTTACTCAATGGATGTCCTTCAGTTGCACTGAGATGGCAATGTGTAGTATTCCCCAGCCTGCCTGGAAAAGGCTGCATGACACCCAGAGGAAAAAGGGGAACGGCTGAATTTTATCATGAAATAATTACCAACCTCTGAATAATTCTTGACAGACGTCTTTCGGGAGGGCTGCTGTCTGGATGACTTAAAAGCTAGAAAACATCAGGGTAAGAATGCACAGCAATTACGACAAATTGATGAGACTTCGGAATAAACTACTGCTAGCACAAAGCACAAGAGAGTTAAAAACTGTCTGCCAGACCTATAGCACTGTGCAAAAGTTGTAGGCAAGCGTGAAAAAAAATGCTGTAAACAACGCTTTCAGAAACATAAATAATGATTGTTTATTTTTGTCAATTTTCAAAATGCAAAGTGAGCGGACAAAAGAAAAATCTAAATCAAATCAATATTTGGTGTGGTCATCCTTTGCCTTCAAAACAGGAGCAATTCTTGCACACTTGCACAGAGTTTTTGAAGGAACTCGGCTGGTAGGTTGTTCCAAACATCTTGGAGAACTAACCACAGATCTTCTGTGGATGTTGGCTTTCTCACATCCTTCTGTCTCTTCATGTAATCCCAGACACACTCGATTGAGATCAGGGCTCTGTGGGGGCAGTGCCATCCCTTCCAGTACTTCTTGTTCTTCTTTATGCTGAAGATAGTTCTTAATGATGTTGGCTGTATGCTCGGGGTCGTTGTCCTGCTGCAGAATAAATTTGGGGCCAATCATACGCCTCCCTGATGGTATTGCATGA